GAAGGGGCCCGGGATGTGCCGCACACGTGGGCCGGATTGGTGGCCAGCAGTGGCTGTTTTTGGGCAAAGGGTGCTATAGCCAGGAGACGGTGGTTCACGAGTTGATGCATTCCGTGGGCTTTATTCACGAACAGTCCCGTCCGGACAGGGATGCCCATGTTCAGATCATGTGGGATAACATCAAGGAGGGTATGTATGGGGTAGGGATGTATGATTGGTGGGTATGTATGCGGTAAATGATTTGGTAGTAGGGTATGAATTGGACTGGGAGCATGCTATCGGCGGGTATACCTAACTATTTTCAAAGTAGAAAAGTTTTTAATTAATACTAATTCAGACTAATATTGCATTAATTATTACTAATTCAGACTAATATTGCATTAATTATTACTTATGGCTTACCTAAGTTATTATTAGTAATAATTTATTACTTATTCCCTTTCCTACCATTCCTTAACCTATCCTACAATTAAATTTTAAATATTTAAGTATATCTTATGAATAATCTATGGATAGCATGTCAGTCCCCTCTGTATAATGTATTTTTTGTATGTATTATGCGGTGACCTGTAGGTGCAAAACGCAATTTCCGCAAACACACGACCGACTACCTGGCCGACCACGGCTTCGAGTACGACCTGATGTCAGTCATGCACTACAGACAGTACGCCTTCTCCAAGAACAAGAAGCCAACGATAGTGGCCAGACGTCCGGTGCCGTACCTGAGGTGTAGGGGCCACGAGTGCCCGTCCGATCTGGACGTCCGTAAAATCAATTACCTCTACAAATGCAAGAACGGAAAGTCAGGCTATTATGGGTCGGACGATAAGGGGGGAAAACAGCAGAATAAGTACCAGGATAAGTTTGGCAACAATATTGGCAATAATATCGGCAATACTAACGAATACGACAATAACGTAATGATCGGGGAGAATTTCTACGAAAACCTACCGTTCCCTTTCAACACCGAGTCGGTGACCACTGAACACCACGAAGACTTCAATGACTATACGGACAGTAGTGATGAGCCCTGTTATGGGGAGCACTGTTACCAGCACTACGACCCCGATATCGACACCCATATGGGCTACGAGAGTCGACCGGCCCAGACAACTGTCCACTTGCGGCCCCAGTTTGTGGACCGCAATTACGTTTGGTTTAGTTCACTGAATCACTGGTAGTTTTTTAGACATTTTATATTTAAACAAAAGTTAGGATTATTTATTAATTTAAATCAATTCCTCATACAATAAATGCCATACATTTTCATTCACTTAATTAGTAATCAGTGAATAGTATATGAAAATCGTGATTATGTTTGTGGTAAATTAGTAAATGTAGTAATTTTAATGTCGTTTAATCATTAAGTGTTTTATATAGTGAGCAGTTTGTTGTGATACCCCCCTTATCGTCCGACCCATAATAGCCTGACTTTCCGTTCTTGCATTTGTAGAGGTAATTGATTTTACGGACGTCCAGATCGGACGGGCACTCGTNGGAAAGTCTATATGACTATTGATTGTGTGGTTTCTATGGTCTCTATAGTTATCATCGATCGATAATATGCTTCAATGGATCGCACAGAATATGATCCGTAGGTGTGTGTGAGCAGCACCTGCCCTCCCTGTGCCCACTCGCATATGCCAGACATACCAGTGCTTCACCATCGATGAGACTTTTATTAACATTATCTGCCACTAAATGGCATTATATTCACTCTGAGAATATGGTGTATGTCTCGCATAATAATCGCCAGAATATTCTGTTATAATAACGGAATTTATAGAAATATAATGAATAAAAATTCAAATTTTATTTAAATAGCAATTTTAGTGATTTTTTATTGGGTTTTAAATATAAATTTTTAAGTTACTAAAAGTTTTATTTATTTTTATTGTATTAAATATCTATAAATTGATTTTTTAACTGTATTCTCATTTGCATAATTAGTTTGAAAGTCTATAATAAGTATAATATAATTATATTTAATTAGTGCAATAATAGTTATCGCGTAAAAATCATCGTTTAAGATATAATTAAATAAGTTTTAAAATAGACTTTAATTATGAAAAGATAACAAAAATTAATAACAAATAAAATATTGACTGAAAGTGTAGTAAAAACGAAATGAAGAGATTGTCAACTGATTTGTGAATTGAAATTCAAAAGCATTAGTTAATAGTCTATTAGTCGTTAAATGGTTATACAATTGCTTATGAAATGTAATTAGGAATTCATGTTTGACTCGTAAAATGTGTTTATTATTTATTTTTTATCATTCATTTCCGTATTTTTCTGTACCATTTAGTTGCGGATTATATCACAAAACCCGTTGTCTATTGTATTATATGTGTTGTCGTAGTGTTTGTAATGAATTTGAAAAAATGACAACTTATTTGCCATAAGTTTTAATTACAGATAATCTCTCGATAGTCTCGCAGACAATATATAATGATAATAATAATACAGTATATAATACACAGTCTATGAATGTATGAAATATATAATGAAAATATAATACAAACACTTGACTTAAAAGTTATCCTACTTTTGAGTTTGTCTGAAACGCTGGTATAGTATGTGGTGTTCACTCAACTCAAACCGATAATCACTTTTTTGAGTCCAAATAAACCTATTAATTAAATACAAATTAAAAACAGTTTTTTCACTCTCTTTTAAACTAACCCTTTGTTTGCCGTAAAGAGTAGATTGAGATATAAAATCACGAAATGAGCCCTTATTTTCAAAATTAATACATCAAAATCAATGTTTAAAAAAGTAGTCGGAAACTCTATTCAATTACAGGGTCTATATTATATAATATTAATATAATTAGCGTTAACCCAGAGATTAAAGGCATATTGTATTAAAAGGCTTATTGTCTGAGCGTATGACCCATTCCCCTGCCATTCCTGTGAGACATTTATATCAAATGACAATCACTTGTGGTCTAAAACTCCGAGTGCTCTTCAGTTTTCAAAAACTTTTATATGAATTACTGCTTCAATGAGTAAACATATCATTCATAGTATTGTAGACTTATTGTCGCATAATTTGTCTCAAAAAGTCATTCAAAGTATTTAAGAAAGTTTAAGAAATGCTTGAAAACGACTTATTATCCAATCGTAGAAATATATAATCGTTTAATTAATATATGTATACAGTATACTGTATATAATAAATTGTTGATTATGAATATTTAGTGTACAGTAAATTATGTATTTTATGTGCGATTATCGTATGAATTGTTTTGAATATTAATTGATTAGTGGAAGTAGTCGTGAAAGTGAAGGGACTGTCTGTCACCCAAATCCCAGATATTTGAGATTATTAGGTGTAATGAGTGAACAAAAACTATACAATTACTGTATTAGCTATAGTTTTGTGGAGTAGTGTTTGAGAAGTCAGTACTGGATTTCTAAGTGACTTACCTGTGCTCTACCTGTGTGTTCAGTGTTGCAAAACTTTTTTCGCACCAGTATTTCACTTTTCAAATCCATTATCACAAACAATTGGTTCCTTTGAAAGTAGTTTCCGTTTGTTTTTGTATGTGTGCCGTCAATCCCAGAGATTAATAGCGATTTATTTATAGGCATCCCTTTCGCGACACATCTTAATAGTTATGAAATTAATTGTGATTTTAATGATCATGTTTGCGATGTCTTCACATTTTGCATATCCGGGTGAAAGAGGTTTGCATTGATTCTTGATTTACGCTTTTTTCCAAAACCTTTTAATCTAATCTTATTTCTTGTTATCACAAACTTTATAGTTTTCAAAAATATTTTTCTCATTTTATTTATGGAATTAGTTTTAATAACTTTTTATAAAATAGCTGTATATTTAGATAAATATTATATAATAACTATTTCTGATATTGAAATTAAATTGCAAAATAAAAACTATATAGTAGTAATATAAAATAATGCATGCAATTAATTTTTAATTAATGAGTGTAATAACCAATCATCAATTTATTTAATCTAATTATCGTTATAATTATAATATTCATTATATTTGCCTAAAAATTATCATCAATTAATTTACTATCATTTGATTTTAGTTTAATTTATAAGCAAATTTTGATCAAGCAAGAATTTAATTCCTATTGTATTTTCCATAAGTCACAAATCATAGCATAAGTTATTTAAAAATTGAATTTCAAATGAATATTTCAAAACTTATTGAACAAATTGCTTGTCTATCAGTGATATGAATAGACTATTACTATAATATTCAAGTTATTATACAGTATCTCAAGAATTATACCCAAAATGCTCACAGAATATAGGGGTCGGCCTACAGACATGATATTCCTGTCCAACGCGGACTTCCAATTGGCGCAAATGCTGT